GTTATAGGTCTTCGTACAGCGCAAAGGCAATTGTTCACCCGCTGGAAGTGGAAAAGTCGTAATCTCTCCGCATGAATTGTTCGCCAGACGAGGGACTGAAATACGTTGACCTCGCGCGCCATTTGCCTTGGGCTCGCCTCCGGAGCTTCTCGGATAGAATTATCAATTGAGTTTTCCAGAGAAGTGGCCAGCTCCAACCCGAGGTGAAACCGGTCGCTCACTTGCTGAAGTCAATGTTACACGAGCACAAGCGCATTCTCCAAAGTTTAACGTTAATTATTTACAAAACTAAACGATGAAGAGTATCCAATTTTGGCAAATTCATTCTGTGAATTACATATGGGATAAGGTCCCGGTATATTAGCAACGAGGACTGAATCACCCTGTATTCACGGGGGTCTTGGGCGAGCTGCGAGCCTCACTGGCTCCGGCGCATTAGCGTTAGAGGTGGAGCGTGGTGCTCGTCTGCTCCGGCGACGTCTGGTCGACCGGACACTGTCGACGCCACCACGATTGCCGTTATTTCGGTGGCGTCGCCAATGTTGATCTACTCCTTATAGCTTGATGGAGGGTGCTAAAATAGGTACCTTGCCTCCGGCGGGCCACGTGTTCGTATTCTCGCGGGGCCAGGTGGGTATGTGCGCAGTAGCACGCTGTGCTGCCAAATTTCGGTTCTGCGATTATGGTCTCTCTGAGGAACCGTAGCTTCTGGCAAACTTCTACCTTCATCACGGCAACATAATTGTTTTCGCACCATTCACCTAGCGCGCACACCACTAGTGGCAGAAATTCGCCTGTGGTATAGCCCGCAGCTAGGAGGGCAGCGGGCTATACCATACGTTTCGCATTTAGATCTGTGCTTACCTACAAGCCTGCACCGTCACCGTAGTGGCTACCACTACGGCCTTGCGCGCGGACAAGATCTGGACGAGCGTCCCCGTTCACCGTCTCATTTTCACGGAGCACCTGCCAGCCATACTTGCTGTCTCCGTGAATAGGTAGCTAATCAAATAAGTATTTGCTGCCATATTGGCGCGTGGCGGCTGACTGTCTCTACCGTCTGGTTGTCTTTGGGATGTATGCACTTTTAGCAGCAGAGGTCATTGCCGGGGCAGTGGTTAGGGAAGAAGGAATTTATCTGGGGGAGAACAGAAACTTGTGGACGGAATCCTCATATTCTGTTCACTCCTGAGAAAACATGAGGATTTCGTCCTGATTCCTTTGAGGGACTCAGCACAGATGCACTGAGTCGATTGGCTCTGCCATCTTTTTGAGTGAGCTTTGTGGACGGCCTCCCTGAGGCGCCTCACCAGCGTTGGCCAGTCGTTAGGTTCAAGAGTGTATATGGCGCCATCCCCCTCTTCATCAGCTGGGTTCATCTGGGCAAACGGTTCGCCGTGGGGCGGCGGCTGATCGGTGCCTCGACCCGTGTCTTTGTCCTCCCGCGCGCATCTGAGCTTATGCGGCAGCGAGCCCTTCTTGGGACTCCGGTTGCTTTGTTGATTGGTGATTTCGGGCGCGACCATTGCTAAGGTTATTAGTTCTGTAAGTGTAGTGCATGTTTCATCGTGGGAGGTGGTGGTAATCAACCCCCTCCACTGGGTGGTGATATCCGGCGCCGACCTACCGTCGGCTATTGGGACTCCGGCGTCAATGTGGGGCCATGAGGGCTCCGGGAGCAGGGGTTGGCTCATCCTTGTCCTCTTCCAGTTGCTGTGACTCATCGTGCACTGCAGAGCCTAGAGGAGGTTTGGTCCGGAAGATGGGGTGAGAGCATCCTCCCTAATTGTGAAAGACCATTGGATTCCTAGTTTGTTAGCCGCCCTTTGATCCCTGGTCCAAAACGTTTGAGGCCCCAGTTGTCTGTGCACCGGGGCGCCGTTAAGGTATGCTGCAAGAACTGTGCATTCGGGTTCCTTCTCTTTACAGTAAAGAGTCTCTTCTTGGAGATCTTATAGGGATAAGAGGTGGATTTGTTGGTCTAACTAGTAAGAATTTTAAAGGCGGAGTCCGTGGTTCACCAGTCGGACGCCGCATTTAAATTCTGCAGCCCAAATGCCCCGTTCTTACGGGTGTCGTAAAGGAAAGAGGAGGACACACACACTCCGGTAGGGAGATGAATTCTTTTATATGGGCACAAAGCGCGGTGTCCGTGGTAGTCAGTTTTTTTTCGAGTACTGGAACATGATTTATCCACTTTTTCGTTACCAGTGTAACGTATTAGCCAGCGTGCCTCGTGGCATCTATTTGGGGACGCTTGGTAGAGGATTAGCCTAG